CCATTACTGTGATGATGATAGCAAAAAAAAAAACGTTGTTCTACTCGTTCGTCCTCCAGAATTATTCTGTCAGATGTTTCCCTTCTGCTGCTGCTTGATCACAGTTTTTTCCAGGAAATCTTTACAGATCTCTGCATCCTAGGGATTGCTGATATCTGTCTTGTATTAAGGCCATGCCAAAATCCAGCACCCTACTCCCTTCCCATGCCTAGGAATTACTGATCCATGCCATGCCAAAATCACCTTCATCTCTTTTGCTTTTCTAATTTATGGAGGTTCTTCTACCTTCATTCTTACCAGAGCATCTGCTCTTCCCAGAAGTGCCTAAAGCAACATGACTAATCCTCTTCACTAGAAGCTGTTAGATGATGTTTACAGCTCCCTTTTTGGAAAGCAGAGCTCCACATTAGGGGCCAGAGCTCAAGTGAGGTAAAGGTTTTTATTACTGATAGATTTTTTTCCTTTTGAATCTAAAAGGAGCTGCATGTCCCATTTCCAATCTATGATAATTTGGTCAGTCTGAGACAAACTATTTTACATGGTTTATCCCATGTGAAAGTTAAGAGTTAATCTGGATTCATTGAACCCACAAAAGCCACAGCAACAGATGCAGTTCTTAGCGTTTTCAGTCCACTCTTCTTCTATAGACCCTAAAACTACATCCCTGCTCCAGTCTGCTGCTACTGGGCCCTAGCACAGCTCTCCTCAAAAACTAAGGAAAGGGACAAGGAAGTACTTCACTTTAAGCTGAGGATCTGTAACTACCCTGTGTAAAATATCCTGTCTTTTGGTTCGGGTGTGGTTGCTAAATACCTGGCAGAGGAGGTGGCCAGGTTCTCTTGTTCAGGCCTGCAGGCATATGGAGACAGCCAGGCCTTGGTTCCCAAAGTGAGTAGGGATTTAGAGAACTTGTGCTTTTGAGCTCTTAGCTGGGGACTTGTATTAGATCTAGATCTTTCAGGCAAAGGTGTAACCCTTTCTGATTTACCTGTAAACTAGATCTAGGTGGACATCCCAAGCATCGTTGGTTGCCCTTGAACATTTCAGCTGACTTATTTAGGTAAAGCTGCACCTTTTGAAAAGGCAGGTCCAGGCTTGTAAGCCCTCTGTCATTCCAGTGGTGATTCACCATCTCCAAGGAAATGTGGGAGACTACAGGGGACTGTAAAAGGTCTGTTTATAACTCTTTAAATCCCAGAAGAGTGTCAGTTTGTTCTCAGTGGAATAGAGGTTTGGGTGACTGAGACACAGAAAGGTCAAGTGGCTCCCTCAAAGTCATAGATCAAGTTGGAGGAAATCAGATCTCCCTATTCCCAGCCCCATGTCATATTCCCTAGGCTGTGCTTCCTTAGAGTAATGAGAGATTAGCTGGCTCTGGGCTTTTCTAGTAAATTTGGTTAGTGCCATGAACCAAACTGTATTGTGTGCTAACCTCAAGTTCACCCACTCCTCTCCTAGACTTTGAGTGTATCCACGAGCTTGATTCATGCCCCCCTCTTCCTCACCCAGAACCAAAGACAGAACATCTGTGGTGCGCTACCCATCTGTCTTCCTCACCCCCCCTCCCCTCCCCTCCGAGCCGCACAACAAGCAAGCAGTCCCTAAAAGCAACTTCCTCTGACAAAACACTGTGGTATGCTTCTCCACCTGATGCTGAGCCCTTCTTGGTCTTGCATGTGCCCTCTGGCTGGTAGCAAGGAGGAACCCAAGTCTGGAAACCAAACCAATAGCTTGCTCCTCTGGGATGTGTCTCACAGATGAATGCGGATGCCACACAGCCTTGCCAAGGTCCAGGCTAGTAGTGGGAGAGCACTGATGCATGCTGTAATGGTGCTGGCAGCCGTCTTCTCACATTCTGTCACCTGGCCAGGAAATGCTATTGGAAGTGTTGACATCATTACTATGTTTAAGGCAGATCAGTTGATTTTTGTGCCTGGACTGGTAACTTTTTTGAAAGAATCCATCAGGGTGGAATATCCTCAGGATGAACCTGGAGACAGTGAAATATCATCACCAGTTTCTTCTCTGTGGTCTTGATCCAGCGAGGTCCTTATGAATGTGCCTGATTTTAAGCCTAGGCACAGTTCTTTGACTTCACTGGGACCTAATTAGACACGTATTTAAACAGTTTGCTGAATCAGGAGTGCTGATGGAGGAGAGAGAACTAGGGCACTTTCTCCAAGGAGCTGGTTAGCTCATTGGTATTATGGGCCTGGACACTTGCCCACCAATCACAGCTGATAATGGCTCTGCATTGTTGCTACAGCAATGCCCCTGTGCAATTTTGTGTTTCGGCCTCTGCTTTTCACTCCAAAACCAAGTACATTTGACAGTTTTCTCTTAACAACCAGCCCTGCAAATCCGCCCTGTTGTGTGTTAGCCTGGGTTCTTTTCCTTTGGTATGTTGCTCTCAGTATCAAAGGCTTTTCAGGGTAAATTCTATTTTGAGTTGCATCTGGCCAGGTCCGTGACCTGCAGGGGCTTTGTACTGCCATTAGTAACTGGACCTGGAGCTTTGGTAACTGGGTCTGTTCCTGCAAAAGGAAAAATAGTCTGCAGCTTGCTCTCCTGTATCTGCATTACCTCTGCAGGATGAACAGGAACAAGGAGTGAGGGAAAACTCACTTTCTGTGAGCAGATCCAGCTCTAATTGTGCATGCGGAGTGGGCATTACTTTGTTTCATTCAGTCCTTCTTTACAAAAGAACCACTTTGGGCTGTGCCTAGCACGTGGGCTGCCCATGCTCTGTTGAACTGGTCTGCCACCTATCCTGTGCCACTGCCCAGTTCTTACCTAAGGCTGCTTACAGATGTTTAAAAAAAAAAAAAAGTGCATTACTGGAAGAAGAAGCACATTGGTTGCACTCAGTTCTGCAGCATCTGTATAGATCAGATGCTTCAGCAAGACTTTTTGGCACTTTTATCTAATAGCTAATTCAGTCGGGTATTAGATAAAAGTGCCAAAAAAGCCCCACTAAAGTGCCTGATCTATACAGAAGTTGGGCAAACCAGGTCCAACTAATGTGCTGCCTCTTCTGGCCATGCCTGTGCTCAGTGAGGGAATGCGCCAAGTTTAAAGCATCGGGGTTTTGGGGGACTTTTTTTCTTAATGTCTGCAAGCAGTCTAAATGTCCAGGCTGGGAGCAGGTGCTGGTCTCTGGTGTTTCTGGCCATCCTTCATTAGGTAAGGAGGTAACTACTGCTGGTGTCCAGATATGGGAGTTTGTTTGGGTCAGAGGTGCCTAAGGTTTTGTCAGTAAATAGGTGGGAGCAGTGTGGGTGTGGAAGGGTGGTGACAGTGGCCCAATCTTTCTGGTAATTCCCAGATGAACAGGAAATAGTACTAGCAGTTGATGAGAGGTTCTACAGTCCATCTGTTGTACCTGTGGTTGTTTGTGCATCTTAACACATAGGAAACGAGGCTGAAGGAAGGAATTGTGAAGCTGAAACCTCATGAGGAACCTCTGCGCTCTGAGCTGCTCAGCGGAAAGTTCACCATCCTTGTAAGTGTGAGCTCAGGCCCTGGCTTTTCTCTCCTATGGGCCCAGTTTATATGAGTAGTTCCCTATATGCAGATGTAGTCTTGGAGCAGTTGATTCATGGAGGACTATGAAAAACTGTGAATCTTGCTAGGGAGGTAGAACTCAATGGTAATGCTTACATCATAACATCTCCTATAGTTGGTACCCTGAGCCAGGTACTCTGGATGTTGGATTAGTCCAGATGGGACCTCTGAGAAGAGCAGGAGATGCTGAGCCTACTCTCCACCCCTCATAGCAGTCTTTTCTACCTCTCCTGATTTCTGTGTCAGTGTGCGATGGCCCTGAGGAACAGACCTGAGGATGGCATGCACACTCCTGAATGGGGCAGCATCTTCCATGCAGTTCTTGACATTAGGTCCTCATTAGTCCTAGCCTCTTCCCTCCTCTTAACCTGGTTTTGTTGTGGGGAGCCGGGGGGAGTGCAGATATCCTGCTCATCTCATTCCACACTCTGGGCTTAATTGCCGTCTCTGGCTTGTTTTAAGGAACTATTAAAAGAATGTAAGGAGCAAGGAGAGCGCATTCTCTTCTCCTCCTGCTCATATGGTGCCCAGTGAGCAAAACAGGGAAGCTCCTAAGTAAATTAATATTGAGACTGCTTTCCCCTTCTACTCCAAATCAGCGTGTTCAGTTGCACATGGTGCATTCTGCATGTGTCAGTTACAAGCATGCATGCGGTGCCATATGCCCACCAGACTGCAGTACAGAGCCTCCATTGCTGTTACATTTTTGTAGTGATTGGGCCCATTGTGCTAGGTTCTGTAGGCTCATGCAGATCAACATGGTTTCTGCCCCAAGAGATTTTTAGTAACTCAGTTTTGACAAAGGCTGCTTCACTTTCTCTGTCTGCTCATTATGCTTTTCTCTTGACTTGCTTCTAGAGTGTGCGGGACCCATCTGGGGCTTCTATTGCACTCTTCACTGCCAAGTTACACCATCCGAATAAAAGTGTCCAACACGTGGTGCTCCAGGCTCTGTTTTACCTGCTAGACAGAGCTGTAGAGAGGTGAGTCATAGATTTATGCAGCTCAGGACTGGCCTTGTGCAGGTCCCTAACACTGGCTACTCATCTTGCTTTTCCACGATGCACTTTAAATGTATGTGATGTGTACTGCAGTCTGTATGGGGTGATTCTCTCTGGTAAAGAGAATGACAGATCCCAGGGTTTCCATCTGCATGCACTCTGCTGCGTGACTTGTTATCCAAAATCTCCTGTTGTTGGAGAAATCAGTGTCCTTCCTGTTTGCCTCCAGTCCTTGTAGAATTTCCAGTCATTATCTCTGGTTGTATCCAGATATGGGCACATGCAGGGACTGGACCTCTGGACCAACACCAGGAGTATTCTAAAACCCTGCTCCAGGCATTCATGACTCTTGTAACCATACAGATCTTTTTCCTCCAGTTCACACGCTATTTGGGAAAGGTGAGTAACTCTGGCTGATGTGCTTGAATGCCCTTAGCATATCCTCTGATACATAATAGAGTGTAATGGTCAAAAGGTCTGTACTAATTGACCTGCCAGACTCGCCACAAAGTCTGTCTGGTGGAGGCAGCTGGGGGTTGGATTTCTGTCTGGTAGAAAAGTGCAGTGACGCTTTAATCTGTATTTGCCACCTGACTGATCACATGATGGAGGAAGGGAGAAATGCTGATCCTTGAGTTGATTTTTTTTTTCTTTTGTATTCCTTTGTCTGTTACCTACATGTCCAGGGCAACTAGAGTTTTGGGTGGGGTACAGTTTGGAGTGGAGTTTAAGGTTTCAGTCTTTTTGGGGATTCTCTTTATCATCTGCAACATTCTGCTGATAAAGATCTTGATCTTTAAAATGACAAAAAGCAGCTAAATGATTGTATTCAAGTGAGGCATCTCCTTTTGTGGTTTGGCCCTGCAGGTTGTTATCCCAATGCAGATGAGTCAAAATCTATAAAAGATAAGCTCTGAGGAAAGGGTGGAAGAACTGAGTAAGGGGATCTGATAAGTCTTCAAACTGAGAAAGGGTTGTTAAAAAGAGGGTGGCAATGACTTGTTCTCCATCTCTTGCTTGGAACAAGACAAGTCATAACAGGCTTAAATTGCAACCAAGGAGTCTTTAGATATGAGGGAGGTGGTTAGCCATGTTAGTTTGAAGATGGGCAGAAGGCAGGGCAGGGTGACACTAGAGAAGAACTGTTCAGAGAGGAATGAGTTTTCATAGGCAACAGCCTACTTTGTCAGATACTAAGAGTGGATGTTAACAAGAGCAATCCGACTCTGAGGGTGGTTAAGTACTGGAACAGGTCCCATAGAGAAATTGTGAAGTTTCTATCACTGGTGGTTTTAAAGTGCAGATTAGATGAACGCTTATCTGGGCTGGTTTAGACAAAGAGGATCCTGCCAGAAGTGAGGGCTTAGACTAGGTGATCTCCTGAGAGTCCTTCCAGCCTTATCTTTCTGTGATTCTCTGAACAGCATGAAATGAATGTGTGCTCTGAAGATGGTGATTTGGAATCTGCAGGCTATGATGGTGGTTTTGGTATATACACTTTCAGGCAATTCACATGCCAGGCAAGTTTATGTACTCAGTGGGCACATCTAGACATTCATTAATGCGCTGTATTTACAGCATGTTAAGTGTAGTACTTGGTTAACCAAGTTCTAAATTGGTTTTTAGTGATGTTTACTGTGCAGTAGCTTAATATTTCTGCACAGTAAAATATTAGCATGTTTTTTGCCTGGAATGTTACTGAACAATGTTATTAGACTACTGCACAATTAGTATCTCGTGTAGATATGCACCCAGTTAGAGTCTTGGCCAGGGGCAGGCAATTATTTCAGATGGAAGGCCGCTTAATGTGTTTTGGCGAGCTGTTGAGGGCCGCAAGGGTAGCCGTGCGTCTTGACAGGTGCCCTGACAGGTTGCCATCTGGGGACTGAAAGTCCTGCTCCCTACCCCCTGACCTTTGCCACTGGAAGTCCCTTCCCTTGCCTTGCCCCCCAGAAGTACTCCTTTTGTGAAGAGGGTTTGCTGTCTTGGAACTGGAAAAAAAAGAAATTATATTAAAAATCAAACGTTGACAATAGCATTTTAATTTTATTTTAAAAAATATTTTTGTTCTGATTTGTGTGTGATTGCATGGTGTATATAGAGGTGACTGCATAATAGCTCAAAATGAAGTCTTACTCATGTATATAGTGTGGAGGGGTGGGGGAGTATGGAAGGGGGGGG